CCCGCATGCGGTTCCACCCTTCAATTCAGGCGCGCCGCTCACACGTTTCGTGGCCACACAGGGAGCCCCACCGAAGGCCCCAGCGGCAGCGCCCGCATGCTGTTCCCCCCCCTTGTCGGCGCATCCCTCACACGATCCGTGGCCCCATAGGGAGCTCCACCGAAGGCCCAAGTCGCAGCGCCTGCGTGCGGTTCCACTCTAATTTCGGTGAACCCCTCACATGGCCCCATAGGGAGCTCCACAGAAGGCACCACTGGCCGCGCCCGCATGCGGTTCCAGCCACCATGTAGGTGCACCCCTCACACGTGTTGTGGCCCCATAGAGAGTTTCACCGACGGCCTCAGCGGCAGGGCCCACATGCGGTTCCACCCTGCAATTTGGCACATCCTTCAAGCGTTTCGTGGCCACACAGGGAGCCCCACCGAAGGCCCCAGTGGCAATGCTCACATGCGCCCCCCCTCCCCTGCCCCACGCCCATGTCGGCACACCCCTCACACGTTTCGTGGCCCCGTAAGGAGCACCACCGAAAGCCCTAATGGCAATGCTCACATGCGTCCCTCGCGCCCGTTCCGACACACCCCTCACAGAGGTTCGTGGCCCCGTAAGCGAGCCCCATCGAAGGCCCCAGTGGCAGTGCTCACATGCGCCCCCCCCGACATGGCTCCAGCGGCAGCGCCCGCATGTTCCCGCCCCCGACTTCGGCGCACTTCTCACACGTTTCGTGGCGCCATAGGAGGCTCCACCAACGGCCCCAGTGGCAACGCCCGCATGTTTCATTCCCCGATTTCGGCGTACCCCTAACACGTTTCGTGGCCCCGTGGGGAGCTCCACTAAAGGCCCCAATGCCAGCGCTCGCATGGCGTACCCATACTCGTTTTGACACAACCGTCAAACGCGCCGTGGCTTCAAAGAAAACTCGACCGATGACGATACTCATAACTTCGCTACTCACAACTGGATGTGATCGGGTCCTTCACACGGATAACTTTCACAACCCTCCTGTGTTTATGGGTCCTCGTTTTGAAACCGCAAAACCCCGCGTCATTCCTTCCTTCCTCCTCTTCCCGCTCCTTCCCCTCCCTTGCTTGCCGCTGCTATCCGCATGCCCTCATCCTTATGACCATCCTCATCCTCATCCTCATTCTAGCCATCAACGCCATCGTCATCAACAACATCATAATCGCCGCCATCGTCCCAATCATCCGCACACTTGTCGTCATCATCGTCGTCGTCGTCGCCATCAGCATCATCCTCACCACCACCACCACCACCACCATCATCATCATCATCATCATCATCATCATCATCATCATCATCATCATCATCATCATCATCACCATCATCATCATCATCATCATCAACATCAACATCATCATTATCATCAGCATCATCAGCACCATCATCAGCACCATCATCATCATCATTCCCATAGACATCACCATCAACGTCATCATCGTCGTGGTCGTTATCGTCGTCATCATCATTATCAACATCACCATTACCATTAACATCACCACCACCAACATCCTCACAACCACCATCACCATCACCCATCGACATCATTACTGTCATCATCATCACCATCAGCATCATCACCATGACCGAAACTACCACCATCACCACCGCCATACTTATCACCGTCCCCATCCTCATCCTCCTCACCATCACCATCACCGTCGTCATCATCATCGTCATCATAATCATCAACATCATCATCATCGTCGTCGTCATCGTCGTCATCATCAGAGTCATGCTCATCATCGTAATCCTCATCACCATCACCACCACCATCACCATCAATTATCACCATCACCACCACCATGACCATCGCCAGTAGCACCAACGTCAGCATCAGCATCAGCATCATCACCATCAACACCATCGTCATCGTGACCATCATCATCACCACCATCATCATCGTAATCATGTCCATCATCGTCATCACCATCACCATCATCACCATCAACATCATCACCAGCAACATCACCATTACCATCATCACCATCACCATCACCATCAACATCACCACCATCATCATCATCATCATCATGATGAACACCATCATCATGATCAGTATGACAATCATCATTAGCATCATCATAACCATCATCCTTATCACCATCATCATGATCGTCGTTGCCGTCGTCATCGTCGGCATCATCATCCTCATCCACATCCACACCCACATCCTCATTCTCCTCCTCCTGCTCATCATCATCATCATCATCATCATCATCATCATCATCATCATCATCATCATCATCATCATCATCTTCAACATCTTCAACATCAGCATCAGCATCAGCATCAGCAACATCATCATCGTCATCATCATCATCATCATCATCATCATCACCATCATCATCATCATTACCACCATCACCATCATCACCACCACCACCATCACCTCTCACACGTTTCGTGGCCCCATGGGAAGCTTCACCAGAAGCCCCAATCAAGGCGTCCGCATGCGGTCCGCCCCAGGAACATTCCGGCACACCCCTCGCACGTTTCGTGGCCCCACAGGAAGCTCCACCAAAAGCCCCTGTGAGTACGTCCGCATGCGGTTCCCCCGACGCGCATTTCGGCACACCCCTCACACACTGCCGTGACCCCATAGGGAGCTCCACCGAAGGCCCCAGTCAGAGCGTCCGCGTGCGGCCCCCCCGCCCCTTTCGGCACACCCATCACACGTTTCGTGGCCCCCTGGGGAGCTCCACCGAAGACCCCTGTGAGTGCGTCCGCATGCGGTCCCCCCGACGCGCATTTCGGCACACCCCTCACACACTGCTGTGACCCCATAGAAGCTCCACCTAGCGTCTCGGTGGGCGCGACCGCCTGGCGCACGCGCCCCGAATTCTGCACAGCCCTCGCAATTTTCGTGGCCCCATAGGGAGCTCCACCTCTGGTCCCAGTGGGCGCCGACGTGTGGTCGCATCGCGCCACCAATTCGGCACACTCCTCACATGGTTCGTAGCCCAATAGGGAGCTGCATCTACGGTGTGAGCGGGCGCCGACGTACGGCGCCACCACCATCATTCCAGCACACACCTCACACGTCTCGTGCCTCTCAAGGAGCTCCACACACGGCCCCAATGGCAAGTTCCGCATGGCGGCTCCGCGCATTTCGGCACACCACCACGAAGATCGTGGCCTCATAAGGAGCTCCACCGGCGGCCCCAAATGCCATCCATTCCAACACACATCTCTCATACGGGTCGTGCCCCCGGGGCTCCACCTACGGTCCCAGTTGCAGGATCCGCATGGCGGCGCTGCTCATTCCAGCGCACCCCTCACGAGGACCGTGGCCTCAGCCCCACATACGGCTCCAGTGAGAGGGTCCGCACGGCGGCGCCGTTTATTTCGGCGCACTTTTACAATGTTACGTGGCACCATGAAGAGCTCCACCTACGGCCCCAGTTGCAGGGTCCGCATGGTGACGCCGCCCATTTCGGCACACCCTTCACGAGGACCGTGGCCCTATAGGGAGCTCCACCTGCGGCCGCAGGGTGGGTGTTCCGCATGGCGGCGCGGCCCATCTCGGCGCACCTCTCTTGATAATCGCGCTCCCAAACGGAGGTCCACCTACGGCCTCAGTGGGGAAATTTGCATGCAGGCATGCGCCCGTTTCGGCGCAACCCTCACGTGAGCCCCACCTACGGTTCCAGGCATACGTTTCCCAGCGCATGTCGGTGTGCCCCTCACACGTTTTGCGCCTGCCATGGATCTCCACGTACGGCTCCAAGAGGAACATGTGAATGCGTTCCTCCACCCATGTCGGCACACCCCTCGCAGGGGCCGTGCATAATGAAGTTCAACACCGACGTTACATTAAGCTGTGAAGGGATGGGCTCTTCGCCAGGCAAGTGTGTGAGGATGCAGTTCCCCCCAGGATTCTCCTGCGGAAATTGGATCCTCGTATGGAATCCGCAGCGCTGCGCGTCAACTCCTCCGTTTCTCTTGCTCTCCGCATCCCCTCCCCTGCTTGCCTCTGCCTCCCTTTCGGCATGCTCCTCACAAGTTTCGTTGCCCCACGAGGGGCCCCACACACGGCGCCAGTGGGTGCGTCCACATGCGGCCCCCCCGCTCGTTCCGCCACGCCCACCACGAGGACCGGGCCCCGTAGGCAGCTCCAACGGCGCCAGTGGGTGCGTCCACGCGCGGTCCCCTTGCCCATTTCGCCAGGCCCCTCATGCACGAGGGAGCTCCACCTACGGCGCCAGATGGTGCGTCCACGTGTGCCCCCCCCGCCCATTTCGGCACACCCCTCACGCGGATCGTGGCCCCTCACGCGGGACCTCCAGCTACGGCCCCAGTGCGAGGGTCCACGTGCGGCCTCCCCGCCCAGTGCGGCACATGCCTCACGAGGACCGTGAGCTCCACCTACGGCCCCAGTGGGTGCGTCCACATGCGGCCTCCCCGCGCGTTTCGGCACACCCCTCATGCGTTTCGGGGCCCAATGGGGAGCTCCACCTACGGCACCAGTAAGGTCGCTGGCGTTGCGCCCCCCCGGCACATTTCGGCGCACCGCTCACACGTTCAGTGCCCCGCAGTGAGCTCCGCTCAAGGCACCAGCGAGAGCGCCCGCATAGCGCCCCCATCGCCCGTTTCGGCACACCCTTCACACGCTTCGCGCCCCACAAGGAAATCAGCACGCCTCTGCGCGCTTGCGCCGCACCCGCCTGTCCACACTGCTCTGCGGCGCGCAACATATGAAGTCAGACAGCACCCCCTGTGCCGCACGCAGCCACATAGGGTTGGATCCTCGGCCAGGCTTATTTTTTCATGCTGCTCAACTGGACATCGAGGGGCCAGTGGTTCCTGGGACATAACTCGGGCCTCTGGCGGCCGTTCGGGACGATCTGGGCACCTCTGGAATGCTCTCGGCGAGGCGCAGCTGCTGGAAAGCAACCCTAGGCTAGAAACCCGCCGAGAACCAGCGAAAACGCCCGAACAACTCGATCCAACGCCTGGCAGCCCCCTCTCTGGGCCAGTCCGGC